AGTTACAACATTAACCCTCTCGGCGCATCACCGGCCGCTGGCCTTCTCCTCCTCCTCCTCTTCCTCCAACCCCAGTTTTATTTTCCTCGGGGTCACAGCAGGTGCCTATAAGGGGGTCTCTCTCTGCCTTGCCTGGACCCCTTGGGCGCAGAAGGAGAGAGAGGGGGACAACAACAACATCACAAACAACAACAACCACCACGCTCCAAGTCATCTTCCAATCTCTTTCCCCCCAGAAGAGTTACACACACACCCCCAAAAAAGTACAGCAGTAGCTAGCAGCGAGGGGTGGCTTCACTTCTCTAGAATGACTCCAAGTTAATGTTCCACTAAGGTGTCTGAGAGGAGAGTATCTGTCTTTGAAACAAAAGCAAATTGTGGCGAGGAGGGAGTTTTGTTCCATCCAGGGAGTTTTCAGAGGTTCCCAGTCTTGCACCAGACACAAGCGCACTCAGGCGCGCTTTCAGAAGACATTTATGGAAAAGGAACGGAGGGAGAGGGAGAGAGAGTTAAAACAAGTGAAAAAGAGGGAGGAAAAGAGAAACGCAAACTTACCGAAAGGAGCCCCGAGACTTGGAGGATTTGTATTTTAAGTGCTTAGGGGTGTTTTTTGGCTATGAGATTAGCAGACGAGGAGAAAATTCGTCTTCTCAACTGCAGCGAAAAGATCCCGGGTAAGATTCTCCTTCGCACTGATTCCACTAAGCCCAGCTCTCCACTAGTCTATTATTTTCACCAAAATATATGAAAATTTATGCAAATGAAAATCAGCACTAACTGTTCTCCCCTTGTTATACTTTGGATTTCCACCCAACCCCCCCTCAGACAAAGCAATCACACTCTACAAGGAAAGGGGAGTGGGGGTGGGGAATGAATTGTTGAGGGATGAAGAAGATTAACTTTGAATTTTAAATAAATAAATAACACCCCCCCCCCAAAAAAAATCCCCTCTAAACTCAACCAAGAAGATAGTTTGTTTAATGGGTAAACAATATTTTGGGGGTGATTTTCCCCCGCCTAAACTTTATTATTATTATTATTATTGTCGTTGTTGTTATTGTTACTATTATTGAAGTGGGTCTGCAGAGGCGCTATCACGTTTCATCGGGCCACCTGAGACGGCTTTTGAAAGCGTGTACTGTGAAATTCATAGCAGTAATTTAGACAAAATCCTCACTGTATATTAATGAAAGACGGCCCCATGGCACCATTCCTATCCTCCCCATTCAGTGTAAACAAAACCACGAGACTCACTCGGTTTTTTGAGCCTGATCCAAGCAAAATCGGCTGGAAAAGAAAACATGGGGTTCTGGCACGGACTATTCAAACCGACTGCACCTGGAGATCTCCGATTTATTCAATGAAATCTGTGTTGGATCCCTTCATCTGTATGTGTATATCTAAAAGGCGGAAAAGTCTGGGAGACACAGGGGAACACAAAGGAGAAGAATTCTGGATGTTTAGGCTTTCAGTTACCAGAGCTCTTCAGATCTGTATACTTCACCTTAATGGTTTTTCTAAACCTACCTAAGATGGTATCTTTTACTGTACAAGCAGGAGCTGGACCGAGTCCTAAATAAATGCTAGCAGCCTCCAGCTAATCTGCCCATCACGCCAGCTCCGCATACCTTCCTCGCTAGCGGGGATATGTATGCAGTTCGTGCTGTACACTGAAATGCACCTAAGCTGGGTTCTTCTGTGGTGAAATTATGAACAGGAGGGAGGGGCGGGGGGCGTTGTGTTGCACGTCTTAATGTAAACACGCCGGTGCATATTTTCACGGGGGGGGGGGGAGAGAGAAAGAGAGACCGACCCACGCGCGCACAGCTTATGCACTCACAAATGTGGAAGGGGATCCACGCTCTGAGTGCCTGGCCACAGGCTGTGTGTGCGTGTGTGTGTGTGTGTGTGTGTGTGTGTGTGTGTGTGTAAGCACAACAGCGCACAAACACGCAACCGTCATTAGCCAAGATGCGTTCCTTGAATGTCCGAATGGTGTTATTTCACTGGAATTCCCCGAGGAGTGTTCAATTTGCCCTTGTTTGGGTTGCCACTTTCTCTTTTTTCCTTGGTTCACTGAGGTTGCCTCTGTGCAGCGTTTCCGCTTGGTCGCATCGTTCTCTCTCTCTCTCTCTCTCTCTCTCTCCCTCCCTCCCTCCCTCCTTCCCTCCCTCCCTCCCTTTCTCGCTCTCTCTTCCGCCCACCTTAACTCTTTCGGCTGGACTAGCAATAATAAAATGTTTCATAGAGTCAAGTCTATATCCTACAAAATGCTACCGGCGTCGGTGTTATTTTTATACACACACATATCATGGTTGCATTTATATAGTGATAGGGAATAGAGCCATTTGGAGAGGCATTGCGTTGTTTGAAATGAACACCCCAAAAAAAAAATTTTTTTTTAAAAAAGCACCGTGGGATTAACGTAATTTAAAATAGACAAATGGTTAAAAGAAGCTTTCTGGGTATTCTTGAAAGGTAAGGCATCCTTTTGCTTGAAGAGGCCTCGGAGCGCTGCGTGCATCCATACTCCCTCAGTTGGGGGATGGAGAGAGAGAGAGATGAGGGGCATTGTACTTCCCATAAGATGCGGAATAACCGAGGCTGTAAAACAAAGAAGTGTGGGGCCGGTTGCCTGCAACGAGGAGGAGGAGAGCCGGCCGCCCGAGCCTCTCTGTCCGGCGCAGGCTTTTCAGTGGGAACTGCCATGGCTTAAGGAGGGCTGCTGGCGATTGCACCTTTGTGCCTCTGGGAAGCGGGGGTGGGGGGGAGCAGATGCAGAAACGGGCACATGAAACAGGGGAGAAAAGGGAGGGAGGGAAAACTTTGGAAGATACCAGGGAGAGCGCTCCGGGTTTGTTGTTTCTTTCTTCCTTTCTTCAGATTGGGGGCTTTGTGAACGCAGGCAGCCCCTGTGTGCCACGGCTGGTTGCAGATAATACGGCTTAAGCGCGCCCATAAGAGGAATCATATGCATGCAAGTAAAATAAGTACAGTGTTAGATAGCGGGTTTTCCTCTCTTCCGCCCCCCCCAACACACACACACACACACACACACACACACTCCTTTCTTCCCTTCCCCCTCCTTCTCTCATTGCTCCCCCCCCCCCTTTCTCCCGCCTCCCTCTTCTCAGCTCAATGCCGGGAGAACTCAGATTTATTCACTGGGCTCTAAGAGTTAAGATGTTGTGAGTAGGAAGGAGAGAGAGAGAGAGAGAGAGAGAGAGAGAGAGAGACCAAAGGAGGGGTGGTGATGGAGAGAAGAGAAGGGGGGCAGGGCAGTTTTCCAAGCCTCCACGACACTTTGCCTAAATTAAAAAGCAACCAATCGGAACGGCCGGAAGGGGGGCCTCGCGTCCTGAGCCAGTCATCGCGGGCCTGCCAATCACTCAGCGGGTAGCCAATCAGCGGGGGCCCTCGCGCTCGACTTCCTTGTATTTGGGAAAGTGTGGTGGTGCGCGCGCTCTCGGCGGAGGGTAAACATTCGACAGTCCCCGCTCTGTGAGGGAGGGACAGAGAGAGAGCTGTCAGAGGGAGAGAAAGAGAAGGAGAGGAGGAGGAGGAAGGGGGGAGGAGGGGGAGGAGGAGGAAGGGGGAGAAAGAGGAGGAGGAGGCGGCGGCGGCAGCAGCAGCGAGGGAAGAGCAGAGCAGAGCAGAGCGGCTTGTACTCCAGCACCGGCAGAAGAGCACGCTTCACGAGCCTGGCAGCCAACTTCCCCCGCGGAGTTCGCGGCTCAAGGATACCATCTCTGCGCGCCCACCCTCACGCGGCTCCCCTGCGCCCAGGCGCTTCCTCCTCCTCCCGGAGACGACCGCTGGATCTTCGTCACCCTCGTCATCCCTTTCGAATTACAGAGAACTCTGCGATTTTAAACTTTTCTTGGCGAGAGAAGAGAGAGGGAAGGGTGACCAAAGAGATATTGTCGAACTTGCTTTCTTTTATCATGTGAGGAGGAGGACGACGACGACTGGGGCAACAACCCACACCCTTCCCCAAAGAGAAAAAGCGGGGGGAAAGAGAAGGGGAAAGGAAGCGACATGTCTTCTCCAGATTCCCGCAAGAAGGTGGCCCGAGCAGGACTCTTGTTTCCAAGGGACCCGGGCGCATCGGACGGGCGTCAACTCTGAGGCGATGCGTCGCCCGCAGCTCCGTCGCCTCGTCCGCTGCCGCCTTCGCCAGCATCGCCAGAAGTTTTCTTAGGACATAAACAAAACTTGCGCGCGAGAGAGAGAGAGAGGAGAGAGGGGGGACGAAAGCCAGAGAAAGAAAGAAAGAAAGAAACAGAAGCGCCGCGAAAGAGAGAGAGAGACCGAGAGACAGTGTGTGCGAGGGGACGTGCGTGAGGGGCGAAAGAAAGGAGCCCACACGCACTCATTCACCCCATACAAAGCCTTACAGGAGGGGGGAGAAGGGGGAGAAGAGAAACTTTCTCTGTGAGGGGAAAGAAAACAGCAGCGGCAGCAGCAACAACAACAACCCAGAAACTGTGAGGGGAGAAAATATGCTCCTGAGGGAGTGAAGGAGGGAAGCCAAAAGGGGAGTTGTTGTTGCCGACCTCGCTCCCTCCCTCCCCTCGGCGGTTCCCGCTCTTTTTTTTCCCCTCCTTTCCTCCCTCTTTCTACCAATATCTAGGGAGAGGGATTCAGTAATGTCTTTCTCGCCGCTGAGGCAACCCCGAACAGGTGAATCGCAATAAGGGGCCGGCGAAGGAGAAGAAGCGGCCGCGCGTGTGTGTCTATCTGCGTGTGGCGAGTGGTTCCCCTCAGAGGAGCCGCGAGCCCAGGAGGAGCGGCGGCGGCGGCGCGCGCACCCGCGCGCAAGGAGCCCGCCTCGGGGCCGGCCGGCCGGCGGGCCGGGCAGGCTGAGGAGAGCTGAGGAAACAGCCGAGCCGGGCGGGATCCTGGTGGCGCGCTACTGGGCTGCGGCGGCGGCAGCAGCGGCGGCGGCGGCGGCGGCTTGTGGCGAGCGCAGTGGAGGGGTCGACAGGAAAGCGTCGGCGATGGCTACGGCGGCGTCTAACCCTTACCTGGCCACCAACAGCATCCTGTCGGCGGGCTCCATCGTGCACTCGGACGGCGGCGGCGGCATGCAGCCGGGCAGCGTGGCCGTCACGTCGGTGTCGGGCGGCGGCTACCGCGGCGACCCTTCGTCCGTCAAGATGGTCCAGAGCGACTTCATGCAGGGCGCCATGGCGGCCAGCAACGGCGGCCATATGCTGAGCCACGCGCACCAGTGGGTCACCGCGCTGCCCCACGCCGCCGCCGCCGCCGCAGCTGCCGCCGCCGCCGCCGTGGAAGCCGGCTCTCCCTGGGCCAGCAGCCCGGTCGGCATGACGGGGAGCCCGCAGCAGCAACAGCAGCAGCAACAGCAACAGCAGCAGCAGCAGCAGCAGCCCGACGTGAAGGGAGGCGGCGGCGGCGGCGGCGGGCGGGACGACCTGCACTCGGGCGCGGCGCTGCACCACCGGCCGCCGCACCTGGGCCCGCCGCACCAGGGCCACTGGGGCGCCGGCGCCGGCGCGCACCTGCCCTCCATGGCCAGCCAGCAGCAGCAGCAGCCTCTGCTGTACTCGCAGCCCGGCGGCTTCACGGTCAACGGCATGCTGAGCCCTCCGCCGGGCAGCCAGAGCCTGGTGCACCCGGGCTTGGTGCGGGGAGACACGCCCGAGCTGGGGGAGCACCCCGGCCACCACCACCACCACCATCACCACCCGCACCCGCACCCGCACCACGGGGGAGGCGGCGGCGGCGGAGGCGGGGGCGGCGGCCTGAACAGCCACGACCCGCACTCGGACGAGGACACGCCGACCTCGGACGACCTGGAGCAGTTCGCCAAGCAGTTCAAGCAGCGCCGGATCAAGCTGGGCTTCACGCAGGCCGACGTGGGCTTGGCGCTGGGCACCCTGTACGGCAACGTCTTCTCGCAGACCACCATCTGCCGCTTCGAGGCTCTGCAGCTCAGCTTCAAGAACATGTGCAAGCTGAAACCTTTGTTGAACAAGTGGCTGGAGGAAGCCGACTCGTCGACGGGCAGCCCCACCAGCATCGACAAGATCGCGGCTCAGGGCCGCAAGAGGAAGAAGCGGACCTCCATCGAGGTGAGTGTCAAGGGGGCCTTGGAGAGCCACTTCCTGAAGTGCCCCAAGCCCTCGGCGCAGGAGATTACGAACCTAGCGGACAGCCTGCAGCTGGAGAAGGAGGTGGTCAGGGTTTGGTTTTGCAACCGCAGGCAGAAAGAGAAGCGCATGACCCCCCCGGGGATCCAGCAGCAGACGCCCGACGACGTCTACTCGCAGGTCGGCAACGTGAACTCCGATACGCCGCCGCCCCACCACGGACTCCAGGCGAGCGTGCAGTGAGGGGGGTGGGGTGTGGTGGGGAGGTGGAGGGGGAACGGACAACAAAACAAAACAAAAACAAAAAAAGACAGTCGCCATCATCACCATCAACGACAGCAACGCCGCAAATTTTAAATAAAAAAAAAAAGTGAGAAAGGGATTCTTAGGGAGAAGACAGAAGGGCAGGCAGGCAGGCAGGCAGAAGGAGAGGTGAGCAAAGCAGTGGGGGGGGGGGGGAGAGAAGGGGTGGGGGAGGGGAGGGGGAGAAGGAAGGCGAAGACGCACACAAGGACACCGACACGCACCTACAGCCCAGACCCAGGCTCCCTGGCTTGTTTTCTTTTAAACACACATATCTGGAATACTTAGATTTCTTCATTGCAGTTGGAGATCCTTCCTTGCTACGGCGAGAAAGGGAGCTTTGTGGAAACCCAAACGCGCGCACACACACAAACACACACACACACACCCGGATGTTGTTCCTTTCTGTAGCGACTCCACAACCCCAGATCTAAATTATGCCCTGTTGTTATCGTTGTGGCAGCGATCGTACAGCACCCAGCTTCTTCTGCGCTCCCATCTCTCTCTCCCTCTCTCTTTCTATTTCTCTCTCTCTCTCTCTCTCTCTCTCCTTCTTCTTCTCCGAGCCTCACCCCCCCCACACACACACACCACGAGCCCCTTTAAAAAGACTTTCCTGCGAGGTTCACCGAAACTTTTCTCTCTATTTCACCCCCGCCACACACACACTTTTTAAATGAAATACGTAAAATGAAAATGTCAAAAGAGGGTAGGCCCCAAGCAGGAGAAAAAACAATGCTAGGATATGTTCTTTGAGTTCCAGAGCTATTGGGAGGGGGGTGGTCGTTTGTTTGTTTGTTTGTTTGTTTGTTTGCCCAAACTACGTTAATTTGGTTCAGGGAAGGAGTCTACTTTCGGAGGAGAAGCATTATTTTGAAAACAATAACAAAAGAGAAAAACCGGTAGCTTTTTCCCTAGGTTTAGGAAAAGGAGAGGGGGGGGAAATAACGCACGCAGCACTAAATGAAAAGCCAAGCAGACTGGATAGGGGGGGGGAAACAAATTTATATATTATAATCTAGAGAAAGAGAGCGAGCGAAAGAAAGATGGGAGGAGGGGGAATAAAGAAAGAAAGAACCGCCCGCAAATAGAAGGATGACCCTGAAAAGAAAAAGGTTGGAGGGAGGGGCTCCTACCCGGAGGAGGGGGGGAGAGAAGCAAAGCGAGGTTGTTGGTCCTTAAAACTTGGAGCTCCGTAGAAGGATTTTGCATGAATTAAGGGAAACAGCGACATAAAGGGAATAATTCAGGGCTGTTCCTGATGGCTGCCAATCATCCTGGAAGATTAATTTTAAAAAGTTCACTGCTAATATTTTTTTATTAATATTTTTTATTTCTGGACTAATTCAGATAAAGGGATTTAAAAGGAACTGGGCATCTGCAGCTGCACTTATCTGAACTTCTCTCTCCTAAATCCGTTGCCAACTTGATTGAGCGGGTGCTGTGGAAGTGATTATATAACACTGCCATTTCCTCGCAGTGTTTTTGGTAGGTTTTAATAAACAGACTTTTCAACAAACAAACAAAAAGAAAAAAAGAGAAAAAAAGACAGCAATAGAGAAATGTTTAGATCCGTTGTTGATCTAAAAAAAAATTTGCTTTATATTTTCATTAAATGACTTCTTTTAATATTTTATTCAGAATACCTATGAACTGCTGCAAAACGGTAATTTATTTTTTCCCCAGATCTTGTATTACGTGTTTTTTTCAGACGAGCACAAATTTAAAAAAATGAAATGGAAAAAAAATACGGACAGCTATTAGGTAATAAGGGTATCTTTTGATGTGATAATTTGATTGTAATTTAATTTGAGTAGTGATTCCGTAAGAGCTGATTGAGAAAATAAATTTGTTAGAATGAAATAGTCTTTGTCTGATGCATACGAAATTGTGTCGAGTTAAGTTTTCTTAAGAAATACTGAAAACCTTCCAAATGAGAGACTCAACGATAGAACCAACCTGCGTTCTGTATAGTCTGTTTGTGGTGTGTGTTTTTAACAGGGAACGGAGGAGAAACCCTCCCCCCCCCCTCCATTTACTATTGGCCAGGTTAGCTTTTTTAGAAGTAGGTCAACTCCTTATAAATGCATATATAGTTCCACGGTATTTTTAGATCAATGTATTGAGAGTGTGTAATGGGATTATAAACCAAGACTTTAGAACAGAAGGCCATTGTCTGACTCCTCATTTAAGTTGCAACCCTAGCTCAGTAGATATCCCCTATCAGGTGATATAAGCGATCATCTGCAACAGTTTAACTCCCCGTCCCTTTTCCAAAATATAATGCATAGGATGCTTAAAAAAAAAAAAAAGACTATATGTTATTTGGAAACATTTTATGTGTGTAACTTTTTATTTAATTTAAACGCTATAATTTAAGAAGAGGTACTTCTAAATGTGTGTGCTGGTGTGCGTACAGAAAGAGAAGGAAGTACTCACGAGTTTTAGCCAGGGTTCTGGTAGTTTGCCATTGTTGTGTTGTTGCTTTAGGGATGCGTGCAGGATGTGGAAGGGGCGCAGGTGTTAAGTGCTTGCTCTCAACTCTATACAGCAGCCATACCAGTTATAATAAACGTGAGCGTTGGCGAAGTTAAGGATATCAGTAGCTGCACTACGAAGAAGTAGGTTACCATAACTGTTTGTTATTGTTATAGCCATTGACGTATACAGAGCAGAGGAGTCAGGAGAGGTTTGAAAAGTTCTGTCGTTTATTTCAACCCAACAAAACCCACCTTTGGAAATTTGCATTTGGGCTGTGGTACCCAGATAAGATAGCTAGTCCCACGCCGCGCACTGTGTAGAAACAGAAAAATATGGGGTGGGAGGTTGAAGCTGATGAAGAAGAACATAAGGTTTCAATCGAGCGTTAGTTCCTTTCCTTTCACTTGATGTGTGGTATAATGGTTTAGAACCAGGAAATAATATTAACTCCTTTTCAATAAGTATCAATTTTAGGTCAAGTCAAAGCCAGCTAAATAGCCGAGTCCTAAAATGCATTGTTTTTAAACCAAATTAAACCACAAGAATGTTGATAGGCGACAAAGAGGGGGCGGGAGACAGTTTTTGAGGAGTGTGGGAAGCTAGTGCAGAATTTTACCTCTTTTAGGTGGTCCAGGGGAAGGGGGCACCGAAAATGGGGGGGGGGGGGAGAGGGAGAGAGAGAACTAGGCTCCAACAATTTCATTGCACGCGAGGGAAAGAAGAAAAAACAGGCTTTCCAGTAGGGAGGCCACAAAGTTGCTTATACTTGTTGGGAAATATCAGCATGTGAGATAGAATCCTATTTTTCACACTAGAGGAATGAGTGGCGTGGGGTGTTGTTGTTGTTTTAAAAAAATCAGGACAGAGATCTGTTTACATGTCTTAGTTGTTGTTGTTTGGTTAATGGGTTGGGATGAGAACAAAGGGGTAAGAGTGAGCCTCAAGCTCTTTTCTGTTAGAAAGGTAATATTTGCAGCTGCTTTGTGAGGTCAGCCGCTTTTCCGGAAGCAGGTATTTTGCAAAATATGCCCATCTCTGTATCCTTATAACGCAGAAAGGTGAACCTACCAAGGTGATTTGCTATTCTTCTTCTTCTTCTTCTCCTCTTCTCCTCCCGCCCCCCACGTCTTCAAATTGAACCCTCTGAATGTATATAGGAGCTTCAGGGTTACAAGGCCACGGGACGCATAAACAAGAGGCTTTAGTTAAGGGTTATATAATATGTAAATAATGAAAATAACGTTCTATATCACCAAATCTCTAAATTACCCTAAGCACTGTATTCACGTGTAAATCCAATATTCTGTGGTTGGTGGGTCCCTTAAGCTTTCCCCCATATTCCTCCTCTGTGTAAGGAGAGAGGAGTAAAAAAAAAAATATTTTGAAAAGTTGTATTTAACCAGTCCGCGTGATTCTGAAATATAATAATTTACGTTCCCTTTTCTGAAGCCTTTTCCTACCTCTTCTCCCCCTCCCCCAATTTTCTCGAGTTGCCTAGTTGACTTCTAATCACAACCGCGTTCAAATCCCTAGCCAATAAATAATTTCCAAGTGTATTTAAAGTAGTCACTCCACTGTTGTTGACCGCATTTTTTTTAAAAAAATTAAACAACAAGCTCCACCAAGCATTTTAAATCACAGCGGCTTGCCTTTAAAAAAAGAAAAAGGAAAATAGTTTCCATGTAGCGTTTGCATATTGCTATGGTCTGAACTTGTTTTGTATGAACATTTTTCAACTGAACCTTTAAAGAACAATCGGCTCTAATAAGAAATGCAGTATATATTATTGATAGTTCTATCAATAAGTGTCATATTTTCCTTAAGTTTAACACTGATATTTGTTTTTTTTTAAGAGTATATATTTGTAAAATATTTATCCTGTCAAAAGCAACAATATATTGTTGTATTTATTGGTTTATTTTTGTAATAAATGATCAGCACCTTCAAGCTAAAGACAAAACGACATTTTTATATCTTCATAGAGATTGTGAGCGTGTGTGTGTGTGTAGCGCGCACACTCACACACGCGCACCTTTTAAGACGCAGACATATTTGCATATAAATAGAAGAAAAATAAATCTGCGAGTGGCAGCTTTTAGCGATAAAGCGGGGAGCCTCCTTGGACGCTTGCAGTTGAGTTTGCATGGAGTTCCAGGGTGATTAATCAAACTCTAAAATGGATGCAACAAGTCTTGGCCTTGGCTGCAGGCTTGGAATGAATTATTTAGGATATGGACCAAATTTCACAAGTCCCAGCCTCTGGCTGTTTCAAGGAAATTGGTCTATAGTGGCAAGATGGGAAGGCGAAAAGGAACCAAAGTGCGGCGGGTGGGTGGAGGGAGGGCGGCTGGGGAAAGATGCACAAATATTTGCCCTTTACTGTTTGGGGAGGGGGGGAGGAAATGCTTAAAACTGGGTGCAAGCTTCCGGTAGCGCGAGGGAAGATCTCCTTGGTGGTGTTGATGTCTCAGCTGCAGGGAGATGTGGTGTTGACTGACAGGCAGTCTTCAGCTAGCCAGTCAGCCGCTGACAACTTGACCCAGAGTGACACAAACTCCCTTTTTCCTAGCCTGCCAGATTAATGGATGTGAGGCTGGAGGGTGCGCGCGCGCGCGTCTGTTTCGGGCAGAAGTGGCGGGGTGGGGTTTTTTTTTGGGTGGGGACGGGACGGACGGACAGACGACACTCAATCCATAGTTCTCTAAAACCCATGGACTCCTAACAGGGGTGGATTGTTGGGCCACTTGAGCCTGGGGGGGGGAAGAGTGGGGGGTCGTTAATGCTGTAGTTATATATGTATACACAATCACCTGGGAGTAAGCGCCATTGAAATAGGGTTTATTTCTAGCTGGACGTGAAAAGGATTGCTCTGTGAAGGTTTTCCTGGTTGCGCTCCATGGGCGCTTACAGGCGGAGAGCGTTGCTCCTCCAGAGACGAAGCCCGGCTCTCTGGCCGGATCCTTTTGCCTCTGCAAGCGAGTCCTGCCTCCTCTCTAACCCTTGGTCATTGCAAGTGACGTCACGACTCCCCATTCGCCTTCCGTCCAGGGGCTTGAGAGACTCACAGCGCAATCCTATGCAGGTCTGCGCAGGTAAGCGTCTATAGGATGGCAGCCTAAAGGAAACCAGGGCGGAGGCTGCCGCCTCCTTTAGCCTGTTCTCCTAGGGACGGGGAGAATGAAGGGAAGGAATAGCAATTGCCGAAGCAGATCTTTCATTAATAATGATGATGAAATCCTTACAAGGAAGTGAACGCCTTTGAACTTTGTGGATTCGCTTCCTAGTAAATACTGCATGCTTTCAGGTGTAAGCCGTTTCTTAAAACCCTACAGTTAAGGCGGAGCAGTGAGTTTCATTGAAAAGGAGAGCAGGTCTTCTTCCTGGGGTGTTAAAACCCAAACACTCATCGCTGTTTAACAAGGCGGCGTGGTTCACAGATGTCAGTCTGCGAGCAGACGAAGCCTGCTGCAACCCTACAAGAACTTACTTGAGCGCAAGCCTCACTGAACTCCCCTGATTTGCACTCCGGCGCTGGGTGGCGAGAGGTGGTTGGCTACTTTCCCGAGTGTTTAATGCTCTTTTGTAGTCACAGCATGGAAGGTTAAAGAGGGTGTAAAAGGTCAGATATTCTCGTTCCTTCAATGCCAGGTTATGGACGTCAGTGTCATTCTAAAGAGCTTTCCTGTTGGTGAATAGGCGCCATGGGTGGCGCTCACTCTGGATTGATGGATCCGGCGCAAAGATTGAACGGGTCTTCCTTCTTTTAGGCCAATAACATTAGTCTTATTTCCACGGCCTCTTGTTTTTAGGCTACAGAATTGGGTTAGATCTCTTTTGCCGGGAGGACTGTGCAACCCTCCGGTTGTGTTCTAAGTATTTCAGTGGAAATGCCTGCGTGCGTGCGTGTGTGTGTGTGTGTGTGTGTGTGAGAGAGAGAGAGAGAGAGAGAGAGAGAGAGAGAGAGAGAGAGAGAGAGGAAATACCCTGCGCAGTTTGAGTAATGTGTGGCTAAGATCAGGTGGATGAATGGGCTTGCTTGGAAGTGCAATGGGCCTTGGCGCGCGCGTTAAGAAGCAGGGAGGGAGGGAGGGAGACAGAGAGAAGGGTGGGGAGGGGGTGTGGGGATCTCAAGGAAGGAGGAGAAGAGAGGAAGTGCTGAGGACCCAGCGGCCATCTGGACTCAGGATGGGGGGGGGGGTGCGCGCGCGCTTTGGGTACTGGATTGTGAAGAAAGCTCTCCCCGCTGTCCCCCGAGGTGGCGAGCAATGAGCTCATTCTGCATGGGGTCTGGGGGGGGGGTGTGTAGTGGGGGGGGCACGGTGCATTATTTTCCCCTCCCTGCTTCTGCCTGGCTGGCTTGCTGGCCAGAAGTGGCAGCTGCTGCCCTCTCCCACAAGTTGTTCTGCTCGTGGCGACCATTCAGCCAAACGCAGGATCCTTTTCTCAGAGATTTAAATTTCGCGGATGAATTACCATAAACGGGTTGCTTAGCAACTAAATTGAAGCCGGGCTAAGAACATGCAAGCCTCTCCTTTTCCTTCCCCCCCACCCCCTTTTTTTGTATTCTCATTAATAAAAGAGCCACTCTCTGACACAGCAACCTGACTTTGGATCACTGCAACTTCTGTAAAAGCCACCGGTGAATACAAGCCGGCTGCACCATTTAATTACAGATCAGAATGGCTTGAAATGGGATGTTTTTGTTAATGTATCTGCCTAAACAGGCTTTGAGTTGCGGGGCGGGGGACTGCGTTTGTGTTTAAAAGGATTTTTCCAGAGGAGTCATAATCTACTATGTGGAATGGGGATGGATACTAGGGTGGCTGTGACAGATGAAACTTTTCTCTTGGCTAATATCCAAACTTGTCTCCATCTCACCACCACTTCCACCCCGTTTCTCTCTCCCTAATATCAGAAATCGGTAGAATATTTGGACATACAGGGATCCTGTAACAGTTGTGTAGGATTCACTGAAGAAAGCAAGAGTCTTTGCACACCTACAAAGGCTTGTGGGATGGACTGCAGCAGCCCCCAAATGCACAAAAGCTTTAAAGTGTGGTGGGATTTCCTCCCAACTCCGAGATTTTTATTTTTAGTTTTTTAGTTTTAAGCATCACTGACGACGCGCTCCTTTCAGTTATTCCTTGCAATGGTTCGGTTGTTTTTCATCGAATGCATAGTTGACAATCTGCCTTGCCATTTCTTTTTCCATTCGTATCAATGTGTACAACTTTGTTTAAAAGCTCTGGGCTCATTTTCTCTGCCCTTTTAGAGAGAGAGAGAGAGACAACTGCTTTCAACTTTTACGCCAGCGAGGGATGGGGTTGTAAACTTGAGTCCCTCCCTTGCAAAGAGCTCGACTTTCCCTCGCAGGTAATTAACCTACTTCTAGCTCAGGATTCTTATAACGGCTTTTCAACTCATCCGGATGGGTCCATACAAAGGGCAGGTCCTTGGGCTAACACAGGTTAAAAGAAAACCAGCAGTTGCCCATTTCCTTCTGGCACAGGCTGTCATAAAAACAGGAGGAAAAGGGATGAGTTTTAGCAGGCATCCTCAAACTCGGCCCTCCAGCTGTTTTGGGACTACAACTCCCATCATCCCTAGCTAACAGGACCAGTGGTCAGGGATGATGGGAGTTGTAGTCCCTAAACAGCTGGAGGGCCGAGTTTGGGGATGCCTGATTTTAGGAACGTTATCAGTAGTTCTACCGTACTGAGGAGAGATGTACGTTCGTCCCTTCCTCTCTCTACGCTGGAGGAACAGAAAATGAGCTTGGTGGTAATGAAAGGGAAGGCCGCTGCTCTGGGAAATCCTTTTGCGTGCAGAAGATCCCAGATCCAATCCCTGGCATCTCCAGTTAGGACTGGGAAAGACTCCCTGGCCTGACATATGTGGAGTCCCTTAGGAGAAAGCATGCGTTGGGAATGAAGGGCTGACTCTTTAAAACCAAGATAATTTTACCACCCTTTTGAGACTGTAGGACCAGAGAAGAATATACAGCAGAGTCACGGGCGTAGCCAGGATTTTTGTTGGGAGGGGCAGGCCTCTTGTGGGGGGGGGGGCAGAACCTCAGTTAGCTATGTATTTTTCTTTATTTATATTTATTTAAGGGGGCAGCTGCCCCTCCTTGCACACACACACACACACACCCCGCTTAGCTACGCCCATGAGCAGAGTTACAATCCGGGATGCAGTTTGAGAGAACTCCGCCCGAGGTTTAACTGATTTTAATCTTAGAACAGATTGCTTGGGAGGAACGCGCCACAACTGAGTGGGGTGGGCGTGGGGGGGGTCTAACTCCCAAGCGTTTAGAATTGATGTGTAAACCCATAATCCACTTCTCTCCACCACCACCCCCACATCCCAGTGTTTGAGCCTGCAGTTAGATGTCCAGAGTTCTCAGAAACTTTGCATCAGCGCCAATCCTTCACACGCGCCTCAGTAAGCGCCTGGTAGGATTGCGACCAGATTCTCCCTACCGCCGTGGTCCTAAATTGCACTAGTCTTTCTCTGGATGTGTATATAAAACAGCTGAGATCTGAAGCAAGTGTTGGAGGAAAAGAGCTGTTTCTGTTGCCGTAGACTTGGGCCTCAGTTCTGCACTCTGATAAAATAAAATAAAAATAAATAAAAAAGTAGTGATCTTTAAGCTGCTAAATGACGAGCAGAGGTTACAGTCTTAGACCACAGTGGGATGTTTTTCTTAAGTGTGCTTGGAAAGTTTCGGCTGCCAAATGCACAGGTCTGGGTGGTGTGGGATGATTTATGCACAAAAAGGTTCCCTGCGCTGTGAAACGAGGTTCTGGAGTCTCAGGACGGCGCCCTTCGTGAGACCTGAGCGCGCTTCCTTACCTCGATTTCATTTCATCGCGTTTTGAATTTATTTTTAAAGAGTTCTTTCACTCCACCCTCTCATGCAGCAGCTTGAAAAAGGACTGCGCTTGGAAACCAGCTCCCTAGATGCAAGTCCGGTCAAGAAAGCACACAGTTTCTCTGTGGCATATTTATTTAATTTTTTTGCTCACCTTAAGTACTCGGCTCATCTGCGAGCCCGGGGAACCCACGGCTGTTCCCTGTGTGGGATGCAAAAGGAAAGTCCAGCCAAAGTTCACCCGCAGAATTACATGTCCCTTTAGGAAAAGGGCGCGGGGGGGGCGCGCAATGGGGAGAAGCATTATTTCCATAAACGATAAGTAAGGGATAAGGTAATGCTTAAAAAAAATATAGGAGAGAACTTAAGGATTTTTTGTTGGGGGGGAATATTATTGTACCTCGTGTCTAGGGCTAACCTTTTCCAATTGAAATGGAATTATTTAAAGAGGGGAAGCAGAGAGAGGAGCGGGAGGGAACCGCAGAGCTGCTATATTTACGTCCCCCAAACCAACATTCAAACAACTTGAGGCTCTCGGGCTGACAGCACGTTTCTATGTACAGTAACCTTTTTGTTATTCGTTCTGGAAAGCCTGGCTGCCGGGGCTGCTGCTGCCAGCGGTTCCACAGACCTCCTTCCTCCAACCCAGCGGAGAACAGTTGAGTGTTTGCTCAGGAGCTCCGAGCTTCACGTCGAGGTAGAGAGAAGGCGGAGGCATGAAAAGAAAAAGAGAGGTGGAGGGGAGAGAGAAAAAAGTGAGGGGGGTCCTCACCTAGAAAGTTTCAGCTGCATCAAGCTGAGCGCTTCTCTCTAGGAGGCCGTTTGTGAAGAAAAGTTGGAGGCAGCGTTTAATCTCATTGTTTCAAGCCCCTCTTGAGTTGTGTGGATCAAAGCTTGCCAAGGGAGCTAGAGACGCGGGGACGCCATAAACCCTCCTGTGCGGGCGATAGATATGTACATAGGATATATAGTTCTCGCGCGCAAGGCTCCCTGACCTGCAGGGGAAGTTGCCACCGCCGGCGCATTTGCCACCACAACACCCAAGGCATTTCTGGGAGATGTGAGCCGGAGATCTTCCCGGCGGACTGCCGAGGATTAGAATCCATGTCCTATCATTCCACATTCCCATTGGGGTTTATGGGCCCGGACTCTAGAATCCACCCAGGCTGATTTCAAGAGGGTTAGTTTCCCAACAGTGTTTAGACTCGGATTCCAGACAGTCCCAGTGTTCAGCTTTTTAAGTTTTGCTGCTGCTGCTGCTGCTACTGCTGTTGTCGCTGTCGTTGCAGCAAAGAGTTTTGTGGTACCTTAAAGCGGAGCACATTTTATTGTGGCCTAAACTTCCGCAGACTAGATCCCACTTCATCAAATCGGGGTTTGTGTGTGTGTGTGTGTGTGTGTTTAGTAAACTCAACTTCGATGCATTTCCCATTCTTTCTTGCTAGTATTCAGAACTCTTACGAAGAACATTAAATCAATAAACGAAAATTGGCCCCTAAACCCAGCGAGGAATATCCTCACAAAATTAGAAAGAGGAGGGAGCGCCTTTGTTCAGGCTCCTAGAATTCTTTCAAACAAGCAGGCCAGTGGACACGACTCTTCTGCACGTTTACCTGCGAGTAAGCCCCAGTTTGATCCATGGCCTCTGACTTTACAGGCAGAGATCCTCCAGGTCACCCGCTCTAATGGGTAGCCGAACCCAACATGAAATGTAAAGCTTTCCAAGATATCTGCTGGGCCTCCTGCTGCCCCACCATCTCAGACTTCCCGCATCTTTGCCCGCTTGCTCCCAGCTACCCCTCCTTTGTGCTCCGTGGGTCACCACTTACCTATAGTGACGAATGGATGCTGATGTGGTGGGTGGTGGGTGACTGGCATGGGGAGGGAGAGATCCATATATGTACTTCACATTTTCTTCAGTCTATAAATATCTATAACAGTCTAGAGTGACAGGCTCTCCTATGAAACGTACTATTATTATTATTATTATTATTATTATTATTATTATTATTATTATCAATTGGAGATATCGAAGAACTGGACTGGGGAGAGTTGAAATGTCTTGAGTAGCGGGAAGGGAGGAAGCAAATAAATTAATCAATAGTCCTGCCCCCCCCTTCTTCTCAGCACTTTTGCATTACAGTGGTACCTTGGGTTAAGTACTTAATTCGTTCCGGAGGTCCGTTCTTAACCTGAAACTGTTCTTAACCTGAAGCACCACTTTAGCTAATGGGGCCTCCTGCTGCCGCCGCACCACCGGAGCACGATTTCTGTTCTCATCCTGAAGCAAAGTTCTTAACCTGAAGCGCTATTTCTGGGTTAGCGGAGTCTGTAACATGAAGCGTATGTAACCTGAAGCGTATGTAACCTGAAGCGTATGTGACCCGAGGTACCACTGTATTGTGATTGAGTCTTTGCAATCGCCTGAACTCGCTTCTGAGTAAACAGGCGTTGAGCTGGGCTGCAAAGTAGACTGTTTGGATGGCTTGGGAGGCAGGTCATTGGAGCCAGGTTTATATTTTGCCACTTCGTCCCTCTTTTTTCTCTTAAAAAAAAGAAAAAGTGTCATGCATATTCGGGGGCGTAACGCGGGGTGTCTTCGGGACTCAGGGTGAATGATTCTGAGCTTCAGGTTGGAGACGAGGGATGCCGACAGAGGTCAGTGCTGACCTCTGCAAGTGTGGGACCTGTGGGTGTGTCCGTGTCCCTTGGCTGGTAAAGCCTAACCCTGGGGAGAGCAACCTCTGGAAACAATCCCTGCCACTTTTCTTGCCTAGCTTTGAACCGTGACTGACCTGTGTTTCCTTACGCCGTAAGGCTTACGGGGATGTGCCTTAAGAGAGCAGCAGCAGCCCAGTCGAAACCCCAGCACAATCCCTCCCAATTTTGCTAGCTTCCAGCGACAGTCCCTCTCTCTCTCTCTCTCTACGTGCTGCTCAGCAAGCTTTTCTGTCTTTGGGTAGCAAGTCCTGTCCCGAGGAGGAGAGCAATTTCCAGAAAGGCAGGGTAGCAAAAAACACTAAAAAACAACAACCCACAAACACAACCTTGTAGTGTAGCGCAGTAACGACCAACAAATTTATTGAGACATTAACCCGTTTTGCAAAGTGGTTGAGAGAGGAAACCGTGGCTTGGATGGAGGATGGAGACTCCTAGGCAGGAAGGAGAACGGTGGAATTGACTGAAAGCCTGGCGGTGGCGCGAGGATAATGTCTAGAGCCCCCACAAGGAACCAGCATCCTCCGTAGTCAAGGGTCTTTAACTTAGGGCACAAAGCAAGCCACACACATAAATAGGGAATCGGGCTTGCATACAGGAAAGAGTTAGTACAGAGCGTAGCTTATTAGCCTTCCTGGGGTTCCTCCTCTTTCTAGATCTTTATCTATCAGAGGCCTGAGGTTAAGGACACATGCTGGGACCGAACGACTGTATTTCTAGGGAAATGGGTTCTCCCCAGAGCTAAACTTCATACAATGTGGTTTGGGTATTAGTCTTCGACTTTGCCATTTCGGGCTGACGGGCCAAAAGATCTGGCCCATAGGTTTCTCCGCAACTTGTCATCTTCCAGATTAGAGGATGGGGCATTATTACGCGTCTAACACTGCTAAGGAGGAAAGAAGGTGTGTATCTTTGGGTGGGGAGATCTGTCCTGCTGTCTCGTAAAAACAAGGGCGGGGGGGGGGGCGTTTCCCTTGAAGAGAAATCGCTCGGATGTCTGGAGAGGGAAAGCGGAAAGCAACTGTGAAGAATGGAAGTCACAATTAAGCATCAGGCTGCTTGTGGTGGCACCTTCAAATGTGCACGTTTACTCGTAAGTCCTTTCAGTCAACCTCTGGAAAGGCTGCAATCCGAGGTCAACTCACCTAGGAGTAAGTCCCATCTGAACTCAATGAAACTTCCTGCTAGGCTGTTCAGTGATATATCCCCCATTTGACTTGGTAAGAAGGTTCCACTCAGTCGATCCAAGGAGACTTATAATAATAATAGTGGTTCTTATGTTTCCTGCCCTCCGTCCCGTTTTCTCTCCATCCTAATCCAATCCCGAGATTCCTTCCAGGGTGGGCCTGTGTATGGGCAGCGACGCTGGTATGGTTTGCTCACTCTATTAGACTCCTGTAGATTGGGCAGCCACTGAGAATCCCTGCATGGATTCCCCTATTTCTGTAACGGGTTCAACCCAAAGCCCATGTCTGCCAGATTGTCCAGTGAAACATGAGGAATCTGGCTATTGACTGGCTGGGATGTGCCAGGAGCTCTGGTGGTTTCTCCCCAGGGATCGCCTCCTGATCTTCTTTGTACATGGGGGCAGGAAGACCACAATTTTGCAAAGCCTTGTAGAAGAATGAGTCCTCAGCTCTGACCTGTGGCCACCTTCTCGCGAAATTTCAAGCTAGGAAATGGTTGGCTTCTGCTTTGATGTTCTTCATAATCATTGACTGTTCCTGGACGAGAAGATTCCAGAGCTGTGGAGTCCTCCTTTGTGAGACGACAGGAGGCGAACCAACACAACTAACCAAAGAGGAAACGGAAGCCGGGGTTGCGATGGGGTTTAGAAAGATGTGATTGCAGTTGCTAGGCAGGGATTTAGGCTGTAGATCAAACGACAGGAGCGTTTCGCGAGCGCCCTTTGACTTCCGATGAGCTGTGATCCGAAATCAATTCTCCCCGCCGGTTGTCTGCGCGCCCACTGGACGCCTCGCGGGCCAGCCACAAGTCTGCGCCCGAGCAGTGCAAATTCTAGTTGTTTTTATTATTATTATTATTATTATTATTATTATTATTATTATTCCAGTTTTGGCCCCTACTCTATTGCCAGCATGACAAATGGTTATAGCAAAGCCTCATCGGAAGATAACTCGTGTGTGTGATAAGTATGTTCGGCAACTCCGACACCAGAAAAAGCTGCGTTGCCAGGAACTTGTCTAGTTGTCCTCGCTTGGAATAACTTCTTTTGTTTTCTTGATTAGTTCATTCCGCAGATTTTCTGATCATCATTTCTCTGTCCAAAAAAAAAGAGGGAGAAAGGAGGTTTCCTAATATGTAACCTAGAATCATCGAGGGGCCTGGAATGGGGAGGTTATAATCTCTCAGTTCAGTTTAATGAAGAATTATATCCTGCACCACCAATGGACTTCAGGGAGCAAAAGAAAGGCTTCGGCTTCCCACCTTTTCTCGCCCGCCCACCCTCCTGCCACACCGCCATCTCGCATCATGCTCCTTTTCTGCCCTCTCTGCCTGCTGTTACAGGCACCAATTTAGCTCCTCTGAACATTGTGCCACCCAGCTCCATGGAAAGCGACCATAGTTTGTGTGGGAATGTTAAGGTAAGAGAGGATATATTGTTTTGATATTATCCCTCCTCACTCACGCTAGTGAGTGAACAGCAGAGCACATTCCCTTTGCAACTTATTGGAAGCAAGTTGATGCTCCGTTAGAATCATTTAATGAAGCAATCCAGTCTGGACTGCCCAGTCTGGATTGTTCCTGGTAAGTTTCCCCCTTTATTTCCCTCTTATAATAATAATAATAATAATAACAACAACAACACAACACAGTCTTCTTTAAAAGGATAAAGTTTTACTCACATTCAGTTCACAGCAGTAATCTGAAGGCAGGCTTTTGTGTTGTAGTTACAGTGAAAAGAAGTCTGAGCTGCATCTCAGACTTTCCTCTTGTGAGCTCCATCCTATGTGAAGGTTGAGCCATGCGCTAGCTAAGAGCCAGGACAGAGAGAGTCCAAGAGTAAGAAAGTAAGAGTAAGAGTTCAAGAGATGGTTGCGTGACCAGCCCTTTTATCTGGTCAGCTAGGGTCACGCCTCTCTACCTGGTCACACACAAGGGGAGGAAACTCCAGAGCAGGTGTGACAGGAAGTCTTCCCTGTCTGTACCCACATTCCTCCGTGTGTCCATTCTAGGAAACAGGAAAATGTTGTACTTGACTGCTCTAGTCATAAGACAGCCCACAGTTTGGCCTCGACTTTCTGAAGGAGATGGGGGTCTCCCACTTACTCTAGCTATCAGGCCAATGGCTAAAGACGGGTAGCCATTGGTGAAGGGGGCGGCCCCGGACCCCCGCCTTGTCCATTTCTTCGCCGGGCCAAGTCTTATGATTCCCCTCCCTTAGACTTTCCATCTTCGTATGGGCGTGTACGTATTTCTGATTTTTCCTCAGAGGGATGGCATTTTTCCTCTTCTCCTTGAATATTTGCGTCTCGGATGAAGTGCTTGTTGGTCTGAACAATCATACAAATTACATCTCTCCCCTGCGTTGAAGAAAAATAAAAGATTTTTTGGAAAAAATAATAATTTTGAACGAGTTTAATTTTGTTTTTTGTTGTTTTGTTTTTTAAAAGCAGGTTGCAAGCGCACACGTTTCTCGGAAGCAATCCCCACTGAACTCCTTGGGACTTGCTTTAGAAGCAGGCATAGGATCGGGTTGCGCGTCATCCACAAGCTTCTCATCTAACCTTCTCAGGCTTTACTTGCTCTGCTCCCAGCTTTACTAGCTCCCGCTTCCTTTTCAAAGCACTGAAGAAGAAACCTCCAGGTAGTACGTTGTGCTGTGATAAAGTTTGACTTGACTGTCACGCTCCTGGCGCTAGGGAAATACTAGCGCCATTTGGGAGCGCTGCCTATAGGCTGCAGTCCTACACACTCTCCCGCCACCCTATGAACTAAGCCCCATTGAGCCCAGTGGGACTTACTTCCGCGTAAATGTGCAAAAGATCGCCCTGTTAGCCTGCATCCCTAAGCCTACTTAGGGGGCAAGCATGTCCCATTGGATTCCATATCCATCACAAGATGGTGCCGAAAGGTTGCGCTCCCCACGCGCATTTGCAGGAGAAGTAATCCTGTTTAACTCAAGGACGCTTACTGCCGCGTAAACAAGTCACCGCACTCTCAGTCACGAAGAGACCATGCCTTGCTTCCTAAAGAATAAGAACATGCCTTTTTGAGAAGAACACTGGATGGGTTGTATGTGGCAGCTCTCTGTCTCTCCTGCCCGCCCGCCCCCACCCCCAAAATATCGTAGCGCTCAGGGCAATTGGGAACGATCTCCTTTCCAAGTTCCACTGAACTCCGGCCACATCTGATAATAATGTTTTGTCAATAGCCTTCTTGGCCTGGCCGGTCTCTTTCTTTCTCCCTCTCCCTTCCAAAAGGAGGGGTTTATTTTTACAGGAACCTTCTTTTTTTCCTTAACAGAAAAAGAAATCGCTGGCTGCATATAGTATCAAAACATTTTCAAGTGTGAAGCTTGCTATAGAGTGCAATTCTCCTCCCCCAGCCAAGAGAAATTTGGCCAAAGCGACAAGGGGAGGTTGAACAGGACGGCGCGCTTAATGATTTACTTCTACGTCTTTTGAAGTCTCTCCAAAACACAGAGGGGGCTTTTATTAGGACCAGCTACACCATCTAAACACCTGGTCGAAAGAGGTCCGGAGAAGGGGGCGGACACTTTCTATAGGGAGTCGCCCGCATGTCGTTTGTACAGTATATGCAGCCGTCCCACGGGGGACAGGGCAGGTAGAGTGTGCCCGGCCTGAGGTGGGAAGATCAAACGCTCAGTACCTCATCTCCCCCCCCACACACACACCCCAAAAAAACTCCCACCTTTGCACTCTCTGATTCCACTTGGAAGCAAACCCACTTGATTTCCGTGGATGAGGAGCTGGCTTTCCAAAGAAGTGTGCGGTGGGTCGTTTCAATCGCGTCAAACGAATCCCTTTTCCAAACCAGCCACAAGTCCCATGGCGGCCCTTGTTTATTCAATCGCCTGGGTTTTCTTTTCTTTCCTTGCTTTCAGATGTCCGGCATAGTATTGGTTTCGTTTTAACAGCTGTGCGCAAGAATGCGCAGGTCTCCTGGCTCCCATTACTTGGAAGTAAGGGACACTCCTTGCAGTGGGGCCTCTCACGTCCACGGAAGGTGCTTGCAGGGTCTTGCCGTGTTTAATGACTTGGGCATGAGTGCGTGTGTGTGAATGTGTACAGAATGGACAGATAGATGTAGATGAAACCGAAGTGGGACTGTGTCACCCGCTGCCCTCTCTCATTCTGCTGCCTGAGACTTCCCTCGTCTCCATCATTTCCAGCCTTCTGAGCGAAAAGTTTGGCCTTCGCCTCGACGCTCTCCAAAACAGCCCCCCCACACACACACTTCAGGCTCGCCCAGCAGCACCCTCTTGCATGGTTCTCCCTCCTTCCTCCCTTGCACAGTTTTCAAAGCCCTCCTTTAAAGCCTGACACCCACCCTGGCGCCCTGGGATCCGTCCACAAAGCTGAGAGTCCAAACTCGCCCAACTTTCCCATCTCATCCCCGCCCTCCGCCTCTTTCCCTTCCCTTAGGATCTCCGCACACATCGCCCCGCCGGCCTACTGGATTTTAGGCCGTTTCCAAGCCAGCCTTGCTGCTAAAGAGATGAAACCCTGACCAAAGGATCTACCCGGCCGCGCCGAGGACGCTTCCAAGGCACTCCAGGGGCGCAGAGGCGCGCCGTGGGCGACCTCCAGCCCGATGATCTGCCCAGCAGCTTGTGTCGCTCGCTCCCTGGCGCTCCATCCGCGTTACTCACCTTTAGCTCACACCCATTGCTCAAACCCAAAGAGAGTTGAGCTTATAGGGGGGAGCGCTCCAAAAAAAGGACTCCAAAAAAAAAGACTTGCGCGCGAGGTTTCCAGGAGCGGGTCAGCCCCTCTCCATCCTTCCCCACAGACCCACACCTTCCTCCTTCTCCAAAGGGTCCGACGTCCAGCTGTGTCTTCCCCACATTGGTCCAGAAAGACCAAACACACACACACACACACACACACACACACACACACACAGGGATCTGAGCTTCCGGCAGCTGCTTCGACCCAATGGCTCTCTCCAAGGTTATAGTCGCGCTCGGCCAGACGCTGCTCCCCAGCCAGCCGAGGGTCACGCCCTTCGGTAACCCGAGAGCCGCCCCGGGCCGGGAGAACGCCCTCGTTATCCTCCAGGGGCCTCCTGGCGGGGAGAAAGGCAGCCGGCCTGGGAGGACGCACACTTCCCCGGACAAACCCCGCTCCGGTCAACGGGGATTCCGACGCCACGGGGTTCAGGGGATCGGAAGGGCAAGCGCTGTCATCTGGCGAGGCCTAGGAGTGTCAGGGATGCGGGTGTGTTAAACACAAAAGTCACACATAAAGACCCCTATGCGAATTTTGGCCTGGGTGCCAGTTCTCTCTTCAGTAACAACCCATCTGGGATTATCCGGCTGGGCTCCCAGTTTTGCGAGGCCACAATCAAAAGCCAACGGGTTATGACGTCACGTGCTTGCTTGATGGTGTCATATAGCTGGATCCCCAGGAGCAAGATCTGCTAAAATCAGGAGGGGGGTGTTCTTCCACACAAAAGGTTTAGGAGTGTGAAGCTACAGGGGCAAGGAGGGAGCGTGCAACCAAAAGTGTGCTCGCCATTTTATTCTTATTTTGTCATTCGACGGTCTCCTCCCGACCTCGGGGAAAGGAGAACCACAGCCCCTTCCTTCCTAGCATACCCGTGCCCGGGTGTTTTGGGATACAGGGGACCAAAGCCGCCGAGACGCTGTGGCAGGATGGGATTCCTCGACGGCAACAGGAAACCGCTCTGCTTAATGCCCGACGTGGACGAACATATCGCGCAAATGAGCTTGGATGCGCGCATGACGTACCCTTCGCATTACTGTGTTACGCGGAGTTTGCAGCTTACCTCTCTAACTTCTTTCTCGCGCACCCGACCCACTTGAAGGCAAAACTGAGACCCCCCCCCCTCACTCTTTCTTATTGACTACTCAAGGTGCCTTCGACGGAAGCCCTTTCCCCTTTCGCCAGGGTTGAGACAGGATCCAGTTAAAAGCCCGATGGGTTTTAGCCTCAGCAAAACTAAAGGACCCCCCTCACCTCCCCTGACCACACTTCACACAAATCGGTTTCCTCTCCAGACCGAACAGAACCCATTCTGAGAAAAAAACTCAGTGCGTGTCTATGCGACGCGAGGGGAAGGAGAAAGAGGATGGGGTGGGACATCTTAAAATCATACTGTAGAGTTGGAAGGGATCCCAACGGTCAACTAGACCAACCCACTGCAATGCAGGAATCTCATCTAAAGCATCCATGACAGAGGGCCATCCAATCTTGCTGGCTCTTAACTTTGTTTCAAGGTCCTTGCTACATACCTGCTATTCCATATTCAGACATGCACGCACTCCTCGGCCTTCCTCCCGCTCCCCTGATTCATTTGACTTGGCCTTGTACCCTTTTCCCAAGCAAGAGATCCCGGGTGCAAGCGCGGGGTGCAAGTGCAGGAAAGCGCTTAGAGTCCGAGAAGAACGGTTCCCTCCTCTGACTTTTCCAGCCGGGGAACAGCTTTCCAGACGCCTAACATGCCTGCACATTTAAAAGGCGAACTAAGCCCCGACGGCACGAGTTGGCAGCCGGAGGACTAGAAGGGCCAGGATCCGGGGCAGAATTTGTTTGCGCGCTTTGCCACCCTCCTTCCAAACCGGGGCCCAGACCCTCGAGTCCTCTCCTAAAATATGAGAGCCGTGGCTCCCGGGTTCAAGCCTTCCTGAAACTCTGAAGAGCCGGTGCCTGCGGCCAGTGTAGACAAAACTGAGCTCCTAACTCTCTCCGGCCATTCCGAGAAGCAGAGGCCGCTTGGGTTTTCCAGGTCTCAGAGAGGACCCAGACGCCCCTCGCAGCACATGGAGAGCAAGAGCCAAGACGTCTGACCGCCCCTTGTCTTTCCACAACCTCGGTCTCAACAGTGGGAACGGGATCTGCGGCGTTAAGTTGTGAGTCCGGGTTGGAGGCTGATGGCGCTGCTTGCCAGACGTGAGGCTTCGCATACACGGCGCACAGGGTCTCTGACACCTGCCCTTGCAAGCCAGGACTGCGAGGTTTGTAGGATCGCAACCTACAGGAGAGCAACAGGGAGGTCTAAAAAGTGAAGGGCAGGCCTCGTACGTGCTCGGGACAGACCCCCCACTCTCCGGGATAGCTCAGTTGGGAGAACATGAAGCTCTTAATCTCAGGGACGTGGGTTCGAGCTCCACGTTGGACAAAAGATTCCTGCCTCGCAAGGGGTTGGGCTAGATGACCCTCGGGGTCCCTTCCAACTCTACGATTCTACCCGATCTTATAGCTGAGCGCGCTGCACATTTATTCGGAAGGAAATCCTGCAGCGCTCAGTGGGGCTCACCCCCAAGATCAGTGCGCGCAGGATTGCTCCCTCCAGCTCTGAATTATTTCCAAGTAATTAAAGAGGTGGCGCCTGAGCATGAACAGAGTGCATTTCCTTCCCCCAGCCAATAAGCCCCGCCAGTAGTCCTCAAGGTCATGGGGTTGTTAGAGGGCAGCGTGGCCTCGGGTCAGAGGCCTTTGCTCTGAGGCCAATCTCTCGTTAGGACTAAATAACCGCGGTCTCAAAACAGAAGCCTCGTTGCAATCCGTGCCAGGGGCTTACTTGGAAGTAGGTGCGCTTTAGGACTTCGGCAAGGGAATGCCGTTTGGAACAGAAACGTTAGCAAAGTTTTCAATGGGTGCTGTGCAGCTCTCGTTCCCTCCCTCATTCACGCTCTGGAGAGTCAAGACTGTTCAGCAAAGCATGTTTCCCAGAAACTTTCCAGATGAAAGGAAAGAGGTTCGTGCAGTGCTGCCAAGTCCCTTTCTGCTTCTATCTCTCCCCATGATGCGAGCCCAGTCCACCTCTCCGCGCCACAGCTTTTGCATCCTGAAGCCGGAGCGCAGTCCCAGACACACACACACACACACACACACACACACACGGCAGTTGCAACCCGGGCCAGAGACTGCATCTCAGCAGAAAGTGTGCCACGTGCGGCAGAACTGAGGCAAAGAGACTCAGAATTGAGTCTCCTCTTGTTCATCACCTTCTTGACCCATTTCTCAAGGTAAGCTTCCTTTTTAAAAATAAATAAATGTGGCGTTCACCGCGGCTTAGTTTCGTCCTTCTTTAGAGATGTCTTTCTCTCTCCCCCTCCTCCCACCGTTTTTTTGGGTTTTGGGTTTGTTTTGTTTCCGACATTGAACCGTTTTGTACGGCTGGTTGCAAAGTCTCGAGCGCCATCTAACGGCGGCAGCGAGCCTTTCTGCTCCGCGGAGGCGCCTCTCTCCTTTCTGACGCTGGGTTCGCTTTCATCGCCTTCCTTCGACGACGCCCAACTCGCCCGCCCTGCCATTCATGACATCAGCGTTATAAAAGAATAAAATGCATCCTTAAGCAAACTGGGCTGAGCTACATTTTGTTTCCGCGATTGTCTCTTAAGAGTTTGAAAAGGGGGATCTGGCTGACTTGGAGTTGCAGGGTTTAAAGAAATTATTATTATTTTGCATAGGAGCTAACTCCTAGGGGCTATAAAATATTTGAGGGAGCTGCCCCCACCAAGTTGATGGGCAGTGTCATTCAAATAGTGTGCGCCGCATCCAGTGGTGTAGCGTGGGGGGTGCAGGGGGGGCCGGCCGCACCGGGCGCAACATCTGGGGGGGCGCTCTCTCACTCGCAGCTCTCTGCCCCCTGCTAAAATCCACGGGTTAGGGGGCGCAAATTACTTGCCTTGCCCCGGGTGCTGACAACCCACGTTATGCCACTGGCTGCATCATGTGATCAGTTATGTGGGGTGGGAATTACCTGCACCCCCAAATATTTTATTCAAGTTGGCACCCCTGTTATTTTGGCTGAGCTTCCCTGAGTTTTAACAGCTATGGGACAGGCAGTAATTCAACAGGAACTCCGCCCAGAATTAATGGGGAAAAGTTTGGCCACTTTGGTCTATTGCACAAGCGGTTCAATCACGGAGGTTGTGTGGGATGTATACACAGAGCAGTCAAGTTCAACATTTCCTGTTTGCTAGAATGGGCACACAGAGGAATGTGGCTCCAAACAGGGAGGACTTCCTGTCTTACCTGTTGGGAGCCATCTCCCCCTGAGTCTGACCAGGGAAATGGGCATGACCCAAATAAAGCTAAATCAAAGGGCTGGGCACAAAGCCATCTCTATTTTTATTATTTTGCTCTTTTTTGATCTCTCTTTTGACCAGCTTTTGCTCCTGGCTGTTAACCAGCACATGGCTCAAAGTGGGAAATACAGTGGTACCTCAGGTTAAGTACTTAATTCGTTCCAGAGGTCCGTTCTTAACCTGAAACTGAAACCGAGGTACCACTTAACCTCAGTTAAGAACTTATTTTGTTCCGGAGGTCCGTACTTAACCTGAAACTGTTCTTAACCTGAAGCACCACTTGAGCTAATGGGGCCTCCCGCTGCTGCCGCGCCGTCGCTGTGTGATTTCTGTTCTCATCCTGAAGCAAAGTTCTTAACCCGAGGTACTATTTCTGGGTTAGCGAAGTCTGTAACCTGAAGCGTATGTAACCCGAAGCGTCTGTAACCCGAGGTACCACTGTAAAGGGGAAGTAACCAGGAAGAATCCAGTCTGAACAAAGGGCATCCTGGATTTCTTTAATTAAAAGGCTGAAACCAGCTACTCAATAAATTTCCTATTTGTCTAGAAGGAATGTGCTCTGCTTTATGCTCACTAGTATGAGTAAGGAAGGATTATATATAACTGGTATATCCTCTCGTACCTTCCTAAACATTCCTACAAGTAGATGGGAACCTCACCAGAACATCCTTTTCAAACACCTGTTCCGAGGCAGGGATTATGGCAGAGGTAGCCAACATGGCAATCTGTGCAACAGCGATGCTTACTACAGTTTCTCTCACCTAAACACAGGTAGGAATGAACAGTTCGTTTTCAATTCATTCCAGCAGGAGCACAGATCATTTCCCCTCCTTCGTTAATGAGCTTCAAGGATGGACTTCAGAAGCTGGGTTTGAGGATGCAATGAACCAAAGCTGAGTGAGGCTCAGCTCCACAATCTCTTCTCAGTTTTCAGACCTGCTCCCAGGACGTTGTAGTCCTGATCCAAAGAAGGAGGCAAGGGGGAGCTTGCATAGTAGAAGCTTTGCCTGCTGATTTTACTGCAGAACTCCTACTGCCAAAGAGACAAGCTGTTTTAAAAGTAGCTTGATGTGTTGGAAGGGGAAAGTTCTCTGGTAAAAGCCAGGAAGTGAACTTCAGGTTGCACAAACAGTTCTTTCCTCTGTGTGCTTTCTCCTTCATTGCAACAAGAGAATTAATGCAACACACACACACACACACACACACACACACGAGTGATATATGTGTACACCTTAAAGTACTTTAAAAATGCTAAAGTATCAAAAATTCTATTTCCTGTGTTGTTTTTTAAAAGGAAATCTTTACCAACCTCAAGAAAAGTTCGTGGAGAAGCTGTGGTACTTACAACATCCAAACGCTATTTATTAATTAAATCATATCTTAATTTAAATAGGACCCCCGCCAATACAAAACAGACCCCCATTGTAGAGAAGAATCACAACCTTCATCTGATGAAGTGCTCTCTAATCCATCATTGTTGAATCTGATGCAGTTGACTCTAACACAACAAAGTTTATGCTGCAATAACTGTGTTAATTTGTAAGGTGATGCATGCCTCCTTGTTTTGTTTTGTTTTTATCACTATCTTGCCTTATCTATATTTAGGTGAAGTGAAAGGAGACGAATCAGATATCAACAACAACAACAACAACAACAGCACACCCATATGAATAAGAAACTGTGAATCGTGGCTTTTGCCATATACAAACTAGTGTCAACCCATTACTGTAAAACCTAAAGTTTAGGGCTTTGCAGGTTTGTTGTTTCAAACAAAGAAGAAAGTGATGGTTTGTCCATTAGCAGTATTAGTTGTAGCCTGGACTGCTTCATGCAGATTTTAAAACAAAATTAAATCATTATGGCAATGCTGTTGAAATTCCCGAAGAAACTAGTGAAACTAAGTGCAGGTGAGCTATTTAAGTCAAGAGAGTAGGACAGGAGCCACAGGCAGAATCTATCAGAAATCCATTGGCGTTTCCTGTTATGTGTTCACCTTTTGGTAATAAAGAGGACTAGGAGAGTGAAATGGCCATTTGAGACAGGATATTCTTGGCAGGGCACAAACGGAGAGGTTATTTAATTATTGAATGTATATTTTCACTGCTGGAAGGCACCAAAATGTCTGGCAATTAGAACATTAGCTGCCAGTGCCTGTGAAAGGTTCAGGCAAGGCTGGGAAGTGGTCTTCATTCTGGACATGAGTCGGTCAACCTTAAGCATTTCTAAGCCCTATCCCTTTTATTTCATTTGGAGGATTAAGCACATGCTTAAGAGTCTCCCGTCAAAATACCCATGCCCCCTATCAAGCTAAACTTAGTCATGAGTTACTGGACTATCCCTGAATCAGGCAAACTCGAATTTACAGGGGCAAAGCATGGAGACTGGTGTTGTTTGAGGGTAATGCCATACGGACCATACAAATTAAATGGGAATGCAAAGAGCTGCGGACACATAGTAAACTCCAGTGCGGACAAGTCCTTGGTCAAATGAGTGTTGTGGGGCATGACATGCTTAAGTATATATACTTAAAACATCTTAGCCTATGATTTTATACACAACTTACATGGCGGTGAAGGGATGCGGGTGGCGCTGTGGGTTAAACCACAGAGCCTAGGACTTGCCGATCAGAAGGTTGGCGGTTCGAATCCCCACAACGGGGTGAGCTCCCGTTGCTCGGTCCCTGCTGCTGCCAACCTAGCAGTTCGAAAGCACGTCAAAGTGCAAGTAGATAAATAGGTACCGCTCCGGCGGGAAGGGGAATGGCGTTTCCATGCGCTGCTCTGGTTTGCCAGAAGCGGCTTAGTCATGCTGGCCACATGACCCAGAAGCTGTACGCCGGCTCCCTCGGCCAATAAAGTGAGATGAGCGCCGCAACCCCAGAGTCGGTCACGACTGGACCTAATGGTCAGGGGTCCCTTTACCTTTACATGGTGATAAGTCCCACTGAGCATAAGGGGAGCTTATTTCTCAATAGGCGTGCGTAGGATTGTGCTGTTAGGTATACATCTAAAATACAAAATGTGCAAAGTGGCCCCATGCAGGAAGCATGCATGGGAACGGCGCATATTATTTTCTTCATCTCTGG